CTCCTGACAATAGCCCTTCTCAGTCCCTCTTGTTCCCATTCTCATCCCGTCCCTTCTACCTGTACTCCAAATTTATCCAGGAGATCTTCACTATTTTCCCTGCCTGGGGTCCTCCATGTTTGTCCCTCTTAGGGTCCTCCTTTTTACCTTTTAGCTTCTCTGGGGTTGTGGATTGTAGCCTGGTCATCCTTTGCTTTGCATCTAATATCCATTTAAGAGTTAGTACATACCGTGCTTGTTTTTCTGAGTCTGAGTTACCTCACTCTGGATGATTCTTTCTAGTTCCATTTATTTGGATACAAATTCCATGGTGCTATTTTTTTAACCTAGGTAGAATCTGAACCCAAATTTTGAACTTTCCAATTATTTTAAGGCTTGGCATTATTTTATTTGTATATTTCTGCTGCACCACACTATTAAACTTCTATTACTTCAGTAGTGACATCTTTTATGTGTGCCTTCTGATAAAAAAAAATGGACACTTTTTTATCATATTGTCTTCGGTTGCTACCTTTAAACCCCTTTTGATATTTTTAGGCTTTTCTGTACTTTAATAATTGCCTCATAAATGATCTTCTTGTTTCTACTATCTTTTACAATCAAATCTCTATAACTTACCTTAGAAATTCCTCAAAAACAGCAGTAAACCTGTCATAGTCTGGCTATTCCTTTTTTATTTTCTATATAAAAATCCATATTGTTTTCCAATTTATGCTCAGTCTTCTACAGCTATTCAATTCATTCATCAATAAACCTTGATAACACCTACACCAACAAAAAAAATCGAAACATTTTTGTTTGCCCTGAAATGCACATACAAAGTATATAATTGCAGAATATGTGTATTAGTAAAATGTTGAAAACAGCCGGGCGGTGGTGGCGCACGCCTTTAATCCCAGCACTCGGGAGGCAGAGCCAGGCGGATCTCTGTGAGTTCGAGGCCAGCCTGGGCTACCAAGTGAGTTCCAGGAAAGGCACAAAGCTACACAGGGAAACCCTGTCTCAAAAAAAAGAAAAAAAAATGTTGAAAACATAGGATTATGAAACACACACACACACACACACACACATGTGTATGTGTTTGTTTTACTATCTTATCTTTAAAGTATTTGGGATTTACCTTTTTAAATATGAGATGATATTCAGTATACTATATACTTAAATATAAACATGATAGCATTGTCTTCTCTCTCTTTACTCACATATATATTAACAGCTATCACTTGTCTTTCAGGCAGTGTATCTAGAAAGTTAGAGGTCTAAAATATGGTTCCTTGATCCTTTGCCTTCATAAACTTGAGAAATATTTGTATTGCTGCATAGTGATAGTCCTTTCCTGTGCATTGCCAAGTAGCTATTCCCTGTATAAGTTTATCCCAATTTGTTTATCCATGTCCTATAAGACATTTCAGTTTTGTATAATGTAGTAGGAGATCATCACAAGTTTTAAACAGTTGTCAAGAAATTTTCCATGGTGGCCAAATCACTTTGCATTATTATTGGTAGATAATCTGAGTTCAGTAATATCCACTACAATCAACATCTTCAAATTCTGCTAATATATTAAACATGCAAAGGAATCCTATTGTGGTTTTCCCTTGTACTTATTTCCACAGTAACACTGTGAAGCATTTGTGCATTTAGCTCTTTTATATTACTCATATTTTCCTGAATAAACTGACTATCCATTGCTTTTGAGGATTTTTAAAAAGAGAATCTTGTTTGACTACTGAGTTTTTGAATAATTATTTACATATATACCTGAAGCATGTAATCATGAATTCCCTATTAATCATAGCTCTTTGCTCTTTGTGAAATCCACTTGAGGAATCTAACAAGTTGATGTCTCTAGGTAGATTTATTGAGGAAAGAGAATGATGTGGTCTACATACATCCCACATATTACATCTTGTATTCTCACAGAGACACAATAAAATATCTTTCCTTGTCTTCTAATGTCAAATAGAAGAAACTAAATACATCACTTATTGCTTCATTTGATTATAATGTTCATATGCTTATTTCCTTCTTAAATTTTACAGAAAGCACTCATTATTAGGTGATGCAAAATTCCATTACATTTATACTTCTCATTAACTTGTTAGTTCTCCTTATTGACTAATAATTATTACTTATTATGTGTAACTATTTTAAAAAAATAGTTATCATAACTACATTTTACTTATAATGGCATTTTATGTTACCTAACTGTAATTTTACATGCTATAATCTATAGGTGAGTAATCAAAATTAATGACTTAAACACTGTTTTGACTTATTAAACATAATTGTCCATATCAAAACTTTGTCATCTTAAGTAATATAAATGAAAAATGAAATATTTAGAGATACTAAATGTAGCATGAATCTTAAAAGTTCTTATTAATAAAATCAAACCTGAGCCAGGTGTTGGGGTGAACTGGAAGATCAGAGAACCAGAACAAGCCACAGTTACCTCACCTCGCCAGATTCTCAGCTGGTCTTGTTTCCTCAGACTGGAGGCCTCTGAGTCTTCATCCAGAATGGGTCTCAGCTGAACTGCTGCTAGAAGCCTGAAAGCTTAACCAGCCAAATGCTTAACCAGGCCAAAATGCTTCTAGTTTCCAGTTCTCATGCCTTATATACCATTCTGCTTTCTACCATCATTCCCTGGGATTAAAGGCTCGCTTTCTGAGATTAAATGTGTGTGTCATCATGCTTGGCTGTATCCTTGAACACAAGGATTTCTGCCTCTGGAATGCTAGGATTAAGGGTGTGTGCTACCATTTAATATCCTAAGTATCTAGTGGCTTTTCTGTTCTCTGACCCCAGATAAGTTTATTAGGGTACAAAATATTTTGGGGAACACAATACCACCACAACTAAATATTTTACATAAGTAAATGCTAATGTGCCCACAATTTTAGGGTGAAATAATACTGACTCCCTAATACTAATTCTTCTTTAGATATAAATCAATATTGTTCATTAAACATAGTGTCACCAAGTATACAAACTTAGATGATTATTGTTTAAAATATTTCTAAATGTTTAACTTCAAATGGCATTTTCAGAATATCAACCAGTGTTTTATAATTTTATGTGTATGTTTGTATGCACAGTTTGTGAATGTGCATGTGATGTGGATTTAAACCATGGCCTTGTACATAGTAGCCATACATCAAAGTATTATACGCCTAATGGAGAAAGATAATATCTTCCATTTTGTCATATATATATGTTTTTATGTGTATGTATGCATGTATGTATGTATTATGTATGTATATAAGTATGTATTATTTTTGTAGCACAGGAAATGGAACCCAGCACTTCACCCATGAGGCAATCACTGTACTGAAGAGCTATATACACATATTATTTTTTCACATCTACTTTGAGATAGGTTTTAATTAAATTGCATAGGTGACATTTATTAAGCTCTGTAGCCCAGGCTGGCCTTGAACCTTTGATCCTCTTGTATTAGATTACCATGATTATAGAATTACAGGCTTGCTTCAACATACTTGGCGAACAAATTTAAAAGTACATATAGGCCGGGCGTTGGTGGCGCACGCCTTTAATCCCAGCACTCGGGAGGCAGAGCCAGGCGGATCTCTGTGAGTTCGAGGCCAGCCTGGGCTACCAAGTGAGCTCCAGGAAAGGCGCAAAGCTACACAGAGAAACCCTGTCTCGAAAAACCAAAAAAAAATAAAAAAAAAAAAAAAAAAAAAAAAAAAAAAAAAAAAAATAAAAGTACATATAAAATAATTGATGTAGAAAATGTAGCTTTTCATTTCATTATACACAAGTTTAATACTGACAGAATGTTAAGAATAATTTAAATAAAAATGGGTTAAGATAAAATACTATCTTTTCAGTGTTATAAATACAATAAACTGATAACAGAAGGAATTGTGCCTGTATTTATGCAGCTAGCTCTTGGGCTATAGTCAACAGCTGCCTGTATAACTCATGTTTCTAAACATGTATATTTACATGGCTAGAATTAAATTTTCTGATGCCTTTGAGCATAAACAAACATTAGTAAATTTATATTAAAATATCCATAGTCAAATAAAATCATATGTTTATTGAAATTGGGACTCCAATTATACTCATTCTTTATATGTAAGAGATAGGATGTTAGTAGCACATTTACTTAAATTATCTTTTTAGAATGTTCCTTTTACTAAACATGGTTTTGTGGAGTTTTTGATTCACAGAATTACTGAATGGCAGATAGACTTCCCGTGAGACCCCTGCCCCAGATAAAAATAGGATCATCTGTTAACACCTCCTTTCACTTGAACATATCTGTAGGCTACATTCTCATTCAAAAACATTTGTAGTGTCTAAAATACTAAATAAGAACATTCTTACAGTATTTTCTGCCTAGATGTATAGCAATATGGGGATAGGAGTTTGATAGTCCAAAGGGATGTACCCATTTAGTGTCAGTAATATCCACACTTCTATGTCCTGGGCCTCTGATTTTCCAATATTAATGCCCATGAATCAAGTTTGAGAGTGCAGCTGGCAATCCTACAGTACGTTTCTTAAGTTTATTCAATTTCAGAACTCTGTTCAAATGTCTACAAAGCAATTCCTCACCCAACCCAATCCCATTCCTTAAATAATGGGTTTCTGCCACTGCTAAAGAAACAGACTTCTTATCTTTAAGGAAATAGAGGCAGCATGTACATAGGATCTGGGGTGTTCACATTTGCAAGCACATATTCTTACAACATGAGATTTAGTCTGGGGTGGAAAAAGCAACAAAAACTTACCAGGGTCAGCTCCACTTATATGACAATAAAAAGTAAGAGAATAAAGGAAGTCCAAAACTTATGACTTTAAACCAATTCTCTCTGGCATAAAAAAGACATATTTATCAATGTGAGGGGCTTGAACATACTTCATTCTCTCTCTTTCCATATATATAGAGGATATATATGGATTCTTTATAATTTTAAATGTTAATAGATAACATTTGTGACATTCTATTACTTTTTCTTCTACAGCATTTACATGACTCTCCTGATTTATGGACTGGGATAAATATATTATACCATTTAGTTCTGGCAGTCTTCAGAAAAAGTGATTGCTAAGGCTTGGTGATGGGGAGGGAAGCTATCTGCTACAAGTCTACAGACATGGAAAGTATTAAGGTAAGTAGATCTGGGCTACCTAAGGGTTTCACCATTTGATTGGTGAACCTGATTACTTCTTTAAAAGACTTATATGCTGACAATTGTCTGTTGATTGGGTGGGGCAGGGGGAAACCTCAAAGCAGAATGTGTGATTTGTATTAACTCTTTCACCGTCTCCTCTGTACAAACATTTACAAGAAGATACTTGGAAATACACATGACAGTTTTCTTTTGGGTACCAGAGAGATCTATTTACTTGAGCATATTGTCACAGTAAATGCTACTATAATTATTCAGCCAAAAATATTTGACCTTCCACATTACAAAGAATAGATTGGTGATACTTTGTAGCACAAAGTTCCATCTTATATTACATGCACTAATTTGTTTTCATGTAATTATGAATATGTGAGATGATATAACATTAAAAGCATCAGTGAGAATGAGTAAGGTAGGATCAATATTTTATGTTTGAAGTTATTAGATTTTCACCAAGGGTTCTATTTATCAACAAAGACTTGCATAACTCTATTACACTCATTCTTCTTCTACATGTTACAATAGAGACAGCATAATAGAAGCAAATCAGACAGCTATAAAGAACAATGTCATGTTGGGTTAATCTGAGTAAACACACTAGGGAGTTTGAGGTCTTTCAATAAAATAATAACCTATCAATTCATCCTCTCTCCTCTCCTTTTCTTTGAGGAAACAAAAAACTAGAGAAATTATATATTTAGAATGCAAGTCTTCATAAAGTGTGCTTTCATGATCTTACATACATATTATTTACAGTGTTTATACAGTAAAATATTTTTATTATCTTTATAATATTTCACTTCACTGTGTAAGTATGCTAAGTTAACAAACCATAAAGCCCTTGTAATAATGCCTTTCCTTAAAAATAAGTACAAGGAAGCATTAGTACATATTCAATAACACGAGATGAATTGTACCTTTACATATGTCATTCAAGCCCACTAGTGTTCTCTGGTCTCTGAAGATGTATTTATAACCCTATCATTTTTCTCTGATTGTGGAGAAAAAAGAACACAGTAGTCATATCATGCTCTTGAAGATAGTGTACACACAAATCTGCCTTTCGATAAAGTAGAAACCATGTCCCTGTTTGTATTCTATAGGGTATAATAATTTGGCTTCAATTTTTTAATGAATGTTTGGAGTTATAAATTGTTATGATATCAAATATGAATTTTAAAACCTCAAATCTTTCTTTTCTGCAAGAATGATGTTTTTTGTAATTTCACTGTTGTTGAAATTCATCTTTATGGAGTGCACCTGATCATTCATGGCTTCAGAATTCATGTCTCAAAATTTAGCTTATTGAATTCCTTCAAATACTCTTTTGTGGAAACTAAATGATTCTAAAGAAATATGGAAAAGTTCCAATGAAGCACTTTATTATATGGGAAAACAAAGACAAAGTAATGTTTATTGAAAAGGAGCAGAGTTTTATGTTTAGGAAGGCAAATGCTTTACGGATGTTTTTAATATATTTATCTGTGTTTTTTCATTAAAACTGATCAGATTAGTGAATTCTCAGACTTTTTCTCACATGTATTTCACCACTTTAATAATCTGGAATTCTAGTGTTCACTTACTCCTGTCATGAAAAGCAGCTGTTGAGGCTGGGTATGACATTTTGCTGTATCGTTTAATTTTTCAACACAGCTTTATGTAATAAATCTGTTGTCAGCCTGTCTATTTGTGTCACTCTGAGACACATAAAGAATGAAGCTCGGGGAACAGCAAAACCAAGTGCATTCATTCTTTTATGGCTAAAAGCAAGGGATCAACAGCTAAATAAAAATGTCTGCCTCTTTGACATTACAAAATGCATGCTGTGCCCTTCAGCATGTTTTATAAATCACATTCCCAAACAAGATTCCACCTGCATAAAAGAGATCCAGTGTTTTGCATCAACCAGTTAGTTCTGTAGTTATTTTAATGAAAATTATCAACTTATTTTAACCTGGAATTTATTCACTAGGTAACTGGTCCAATGTCTATGAACTCAGTTGCCAGCAGTAGAAGTAAGCCGAGTACATGTACTTTATTTCTTTCTCTGACATTAAAATGCTAAGTAGACTTGTAGATTAAGCAAACAGTGGTTATTCCTTTCAAGTACCTATCACGGAAACTAGAGAAACTGGTTGACCCTGCTAATGTCACTTTCATCACCTGCAAAATGAAGCAGACATTTTTTGGTGTATTCTAAGGTAACTTTCAGCTCCAATGAGGTGTGCTACTCTAAGGTCCTAAATCACATAGTGCTGTGGGATGTCTTTCTGTGTGCTGTGAATATGTGTTTCTCTGATTGGTTGGCCTACAGTGAGGCAGCTTAGAGGCAGGCAGGAAATCCAGGAGAGAGACAGGAAGAAGAAAGGCAGAGGTGGAGGAGACACCATCCTGTCACCCAGGGAGCAGCACAGCACACAGTTAAAGCCACAGAACATGTGATGACATGTAGATTAGTAGAAATGGGCTGAGTTTAGTTATAAGATCTAGCTAGCAAGAGGCTTGAGCCATATTCCATGGCCCTATAGTTTGTAATTTATATAATCCTCTGTGTGTATTTGGGTCTGAGCAGCTGTGGGACTGGGTGAGACTCAGGAAAACTTCGTCCTACACACACAGTGCCTTTAATTCACACACATGTGACTTTAAGAGGAAGCTGCATATTTAAAGCAAGCTGCTGACTCTGCAATGCAGTTCCGAACATTCATTGCATTTTGTTACAAAGAGGGAGAAGTTGAACCTTACTTGGAGCATGCAGCATAGAGATTAAGCAGAAAGTGCTTTTTACAGTATACTTAGGAAGTGGTATCCACTTCTTATCTCTCTTTATGAATTTAATTCTCGATGCAATCAGCATACCTAATGAACTGTAAATCTCACACCTGCCTCTGTATACTACATGCTAACGCGTCTCATGATCTATCTCTGGTTCTGTGCATTTATTTCATTATTGAAGTAAATTCTTTAATAATAGTGATCACTTAAGAAAAGCACTGTCTACATTTAGACCCCAATGTGACAAAGTCTATTCTTGTATGCAGTGTTGAGATTTTCCATGACAGACTGAGCATTTATTTACAGGAGCTGTCCAGCATCGGAAAAGGCTGTGTTAACACAAACAAGACTTCGGGTTCTTCTCATTTACTATCTGATGAAAATGGAAGAACAGTATGCATGTCAATGAAGGCCATGAATTTTTCATATATTTGGGTTTTTTTTTTTTTCAGTCCTCTACACACGAATATTCTCTGATGTGATTACCCGGTCTTCTATACCGTGGGTGGCAAGAGGCCAAAGGAACGTGAGCTTGACTTGACCTTTTGATAAGGTGGATTGTGCCATTTTGCAGTCAAAGAGGAAGAAGAACAAGCTAGCTCCAGAAAGCAAGTAATTTGTGAATCAAGAGAACAGAGAAAGAGCAAAGTGCTAATTAGGAAGGTATTTTTGAATTCTCCTTAATTTAAACATTGCCTAAGGCAAATCTCAATTGCAATAGTTCCAAAAGGCTCTGTGTGTATGCATATACATGTATACTGTGTCTTTATTTATAGACTCAATCTGTCACATTTTATTGCAGGGAATATCGCACAGTCTCCTAATATTTATTTATTCATCCTGTCATTCAGTGTCATTCAATAATCATTTTTGGAACATACAGAGTAACAATTATATGCTAAGCACTGTAAGAAAAATTGATGAACTCATCTAGGAACATGTTAACCTCAGTATATTTAACAGGAAGCCAATTTTGTGTAGGTTAAATAATAACTCATGTGGATATTTTGTTTTGATGTGATAGTAAAATCTGTAGAATTTAAATATTTATATTTGTTCTGTAAAAATAATCATAAATCTACCAGTTTAAGGAGAGATTATTCTCAGCACTTTAATTATTAAAACTTATTTAATAATCATTTCTTATAGGTATGAAAAAGACAAAATGTCACTTACTTAATAGAGCATATTTAATTTGTAAAATGTAATATAAATTTGAGAATGTATATTCACATACAAATAAAAATTGAAATGCTTTCCAAAAAAACCCTCAGTTTCTAAAGGTTATATCTTTCTTGATATGTTTTAATACTTTATTAATATTTATATTACTTTATACCTGTTATTAAATAGATTATGAACTCAGGGTATAAAAAATCTGAAATATTTATGAAGCAACATTACTGCTTGACCTATGACTTAAACAATTTACAGATAGCCAATACAGTGGAAAACACAGTGGTTCAGCTGAAAATTTTCAGCTAGAATAGCAACATGTATGAATTTTATCCAAATTCCGGAACTGACAACTGGTTTACTAAGAGCGGTTATATAAAACGTGCAGTGTGGCCCCCAGGCAGCCTGCAGCCACAGCCACAGCCTGACAAATGGCAGCACTCAGGCTGGGTCTGAGATGCGAAGCCATCCCTGAATTAATCAGAAAGACTTCCAAGCCTTCTACCATTTCCCCAAACTGGAATCAGGCATAAAACAATCTAGAAATTGAATTCCTTAAAAAAAAATTATAAGTCAAGGTAGCAAGATGTTATTATGTATCTGTATGTCTCAATATTGTTCAAACCTTCCATGAGAAAAAAAAATACCTTATTTGACATGTCCTTCCCACGGGAGTCTACAATCCTATTAGAGGGAAAAGACCTATATACATAAGACAATGTCATCTCAGCTTCATCTTTCACTCCACACACCTCAGCTCACTGTGTCTTTCCCACTAGCTTTCCTTCCATTCTTAGAACGCACAATGATCAGACCCCATCCTCACACTTAGCCTTGAGAACTATTTTTTCTTTTAGATCTCACTGTAAATGCTGTTTTCTCAAGGAATTTTCCAGTCACTTCAATTTAACAGAAGCTAAAATAATCCCTCCAGTTACACTCCTTCACAGAATAAAGCACTTTTTCTTGAATTGTCACATTTAATACCTATGCTTTGATGTTATTTGTTTAATATCTGCCTTGCTCATTAATGAAAAGAGCATTTGAGGACAGAGGCTGTCTGATTTGTAAGATATCATGTGGTGTTACCTTACATCACTATTTTTCAGTGTTAGTCCTATTGACAAATAAGACTACATAATCCTTTACTGTGAGAAGTTAGACTCTGAAAGGGAGTATACTTGGTAATATTGCTAACATCCCCCAAAATAATGGCGTGAACTGTCTGACTTACATGTGACAACCAAAAATGTTTCCACAAACTACTAAATGTTTTTAGGAGACAAATTTTTCCTTTGTTGAGATCAATAGCACTGCACTAATATCACATCATATGTATTATGTGAATAATTGATAAACTGATAATGGGTACCATTGTGTCCATTTTAGATCTAGCATGTTAATCTTAGATTGTCAATTTCATAATTTATATAAACATTAAATGAGAAGATATGTAAGCTCAGTTAGTTCAGTTTCAGTATAATGTTTTCTAAATCTCTGCCCCTATTATAGATCACTCAGCAGATAAATTAATCAGCAAAGCAGGACATTTTGTTGTATATTGAATGTTTGAATCAGGGTCTCATTGTGGATCCCAGGCTGGCATGAAACTCTCTGTGTAGACAGGATGGTATAGAACTTAGAACATGTGTCTCTCCTGTGTGAACCTCTCTGGTATACTCAGTTTCCAGATTAGTGCTTTGAGGAGATAAATCTAACTTTGAATAAGTGGTGACTGAGGCTAAGAGTTACAAAGACTGGACTCAGAAAATCAGACCAAATACATTAAGATCAATTATCAGTCAGAATAAAATTGGCTCTGTGATTCAGTTCAAGTGTACTGTTCAGATAACGGCCTCAGAATCAGTCAGTTCCTAGGTATCTTAGGCAAGTATCTTCAGCAGAAAGGATAAGGTCCTGTCAATAAGGGTGAAATACCAGGGAAGAAAGCCTTTGGTATCTCCATCAAAACAAATCACTCAAGGACCACTCTTACCAAACCTGGTGACGTCACTTGAACATGCTTGCTACCAACAGGCATGAGACCAAGTGCATCCCAAACAAATTAAGAATTTGCCTTCAGCTATTAAAATGATCTCATTTTAATATTTTACTTCATAGACAGCATAGTAAGGAAGATAAATTAAATATAAAACCATTAAACTCTCTGGGACATAACTATTTACATAGCAGTTTTTCCTCCTGACTTATTTATATATTTGGTGACTACTTGGAAAACACATTAGAGATTTTGAACCTAATAATTCATTCATTAGATAAGAAGAATATCAGATAAGTGGGATAACATCTACAAGTCTATTTGAATTCAAAACACATATTTAGTGTCTCAGAATACAAAATGAAAATATTTTCCTACATTTTATAAAATGCTTGCCTTTGAAATTCAGTTGCCGATCATTTGAATTTATGCAGTTATCATCACAGTAAAGAAAAATTTCTCAGATTCAGAATGTTCTGTTTCAAGTAATTACTGGTAAACCACCAGTTTCTTCCCCCTAAGTAATACTTGTTTTAGGTACATGAGAATGTGGTATCATTAAAATATTAAAACAATTCTGGCCCGAAAATTCACTCTAGAATCTTTATAATCCTCTTTAAGACTTTCATGTTTTGATGGGAAGGTAACAGCTCTGACTACAGTGGTGGTGTTGCTCTCCATCTTCATCTAGCCAAGACCTTCATGGCTTTGGGATACAGGCCAAGATTATACACACACACACACACACACACACACACACACACACACACACACACACACACACACGATCTCTTTGTGCCTTACCTCTGTAACTCTGCTTCTCTGCTTTTCCTACCTTCCTTTGCTCATTCCTCCTAGCCCTTTCTGTTTTCTCCTTTCATGGATAACATCTAAGTCTTTCCCTGAGTTTTAAATGAAATTTGCTTATTTGTGAAGATTTCCTCAGTCATTCTAGTTACAGGTGCATTCTAGGTGTAGATTGAATTACATATTATGTTTCTATTTGCATTTATTTTGTGGATTTGTGTGTGTGTGTGTGTGTGTGTGAGGGAGAGAGAGAGAGAGAGAGAGAGAGAGAGAGAGAGAGAGAGAGAGAGAGAGGAAAGAGAGAGAGGGCAGATAGACAGAGAGAGACACACAGAGAGATATGTTTCATTAATTTCTGAAGCTCCTACTAAAATGTAATCTTCACAAAGAAAACGCACCTTTCCAAGCCTACAATTCCCGTCCTCCATATGAGATTCAAAAGAGTAAACTTGGCTTCTCCTAATGATTTGTTAATGGAATATAATTCCAGAGTCTTTTTATGTAGCAGTTTTTTGTATAAAGATGTTTGATGACCATCTTTAACTAAAATATAACTTAGTGTCCTTGTCACCAGAACCCACACTATCTAAAACTAAAAGCATATAGCAAACCACTGTGAATTAAAATGAGCCAGCAACCTAGTAACCTTGTTCCCTAAACTTGTTTTTTGTTCTCTCTCCCCTCCCTCTGTGTACTTCTCTCTCTCCATCTGTCTCTATCTCTGTCTCTGTCTTTCTCTGTCTCTCTCTGTCTCTCTCCTCCAAACTTTCTTTTCTTTGACCTTTCCTTCTGTCTTTGCTAACCACCCCAGACCAGGCCCGAATAATCAGTAGTACTGTCTAAGGCATTTAACAGTTCTAATGAAATTGGTGTTTCTTTAGTTATTCTTTGTTCATAGCTAATGGAAACGATTATCTTAGCTTTGGAGGAAGAATTTTTTTTTTTCAGATTTTTTTTTTCTTCAGCCCTCTCTTCCCTGTAATCTAGATAAATTGCCAGGCGAGGACATTGTAACCTTTTGAATTTATCTATAGGAACATTCACATAAACTTGGGATTAGTATGCCCCTGGAGACTACTCTATTTTTCCTTCTCATTCAGACTTTTAAGTGAATAGTCAGTGTCTTAGAGTAGAGCAGACAGAATTTGCAAGCAGAATAATGTTGACTCACCAAGTATATTATTTTATACTTGAAAGAGAAATTGTGACTTAGTGACAGTGTGATTTCCCCCTTTGAGTGTTACTGTAAATTTCTGTCCCTATACACAGGCAGAGGGCTTTTTGGTAAGGGCCTGGGTTTGAGGAACATTAGTCCCTTGTTGCTATTTCTAAGCCCTGAGCTCCGGAGACAGGTAATTTATATCCATTTTCCTGACACTTCATGTAGACATAGGCTACCAGTTTACTCCTAGAAAGCTTGATCCTAATGTAGTTTGATAAACAGGCAGACTCAAAATATTTAGCACAGTTCTTATATGGAAATGTCGTAGCAACATAAGGTATCATAACATTTTCCAATCAATCTGTTTTTGCTAGACTTTCAGACTGCCACTAGTGTTTACTGGTGAATTCTCACTGAATGTAGAGGATTAAAGAAGGAACAAGATTCTATATTCTGTAAATACAGCACCATAATATTGATTTACTATTTCTTTATGTGGGCATTAAAATTCTGCTACAA